AAAAATCGATTTGGTCGAAAACTGATTTTGCGTAAAAATTCCCGTTTTTCTGTCATTTTTTTTTTTTTTTTCTCGATTTTTTTGAAAACTCGAAAACAGGCGTAACGGCCGGGCGAGTCGGCATCATGCGGCAAATTTCTTATCGGTCACCGCCGCCGCCGACGCCATGGTCGACCACGGACAAATCTGCGAATTCGTGGGATTGAATGCGGGTATCGGTTTTTTTCAAATGCCGTTTTCGGGGTTGACTTCGGCGACGATCAAAGCGTCTGTAACTGCCGGCTTGTCCGTTGTATCGCCGCGAAAAACAATCATCCATATTTAAGTCGTCGATGCGTTCATAGTCTCTCCTAGTCGCTTAAGTCTGCCCGGGTGGGTCTTACTACGACGTCGGAGTGTAAAAAAATGAAAACGCCGACAATATAATGAAATATCCGTTACATGCGAACGACATACACGTTGGCGTCCTTCAGTCGGGACGATACTAGCGCTGTACGTTACGTTACGTTCCGATACGTAGCGATACGTCGCAGCGCTAGTGTGGCAGCGCTAGAGTCGCAGCGCTTGTGTCGCAGATTTTGATTATAAAAATGGGTGCGCCACAGGCCACAGCGGATCAGTGTCATTCGCCATTCAGTCGTCGTTTTGAGACTTTGTGGTCTTTTATCGAGTTACTATTGTGTGTTTCTAGTGTTACACTATACTTTTGTATCTATTTAACTATTTTTTCAAAGTGAAAATTTATTTTTTCCAAGTGAGTGTTTAATTTTTTTTATAAGTTAAAATAAGTAAATTTATCCTATCCTACGCTAATCGTTCGCAAGTAGCGAATACCACATAACGGATATTCGTGATCACGTGGATGAAATCGATGCGATTAGTGATAGGGACAGTAATTATAAGTTGCAAATTGTTGTTTAACCGTCAATTTTGAATTGCAATTTTGAAAAATTGACATATTTTCCCATCGTTCCCCGGCCTGATCACGGTTTCAATGTATTTTATTTTCAGAAATTTCATTCAGTTTTCATTTTGAATTCGAAATACGTAATTATTGATTTAGGCTTAGGAGGAACTCGGTAAACGAGCAAATATTTTTTGACCAAGCATAACTTAGCGGGTATTCGACTTAGAGACCCCAGTCACAGGGGGATCTTAGTTTTTAAGTCCCCTGATGAATTTCAACCATTAGGTAACCAAAGTCCCCCCCACATTTTTAGTTAAGTATAACTCGGCCGGAATTCAAGTTAAAGACCTCGGACCAAGGGGGAACCCTTCCTTATGTTAAGGACTACCGTATTCCGCTTTAGGGAACGGGGGAACCCCCCCCATTTTTTTTTTTTTGGTTTTAGGTCTGCGAGGGCCCTAGGATCCACCCCTCCGCGGGGAACGTGGGGTTTTGATTTTTTGTTGAGTTTTAATGGACTAACTTTGATTTTTGTTTTCCAATTTCAAAATTTTGCAATTTTATTATATTTTTTTCTTTTTTGTATTTTTTTCGTAGCTATGTACCAAGGACCTTCAGTAAGTATATTATTTTATTTATTTGTTAATTATCATTTCATGTGACTTTTCATGTTTTTTTTGTTATTCAGACTAGTAGTGCAGGCCATGATTTCGACGGTGTAGTTGTTGAACCCGTGAACGTAAGTTTATCACATGTATCTAATAATTTTTTTACTCGTAAGTTCACGTTTTATGTTTGTTAATGAATTTTGATTTTACTATTTTTAGGAATCGCGGCCGCCGCCAACTCCCGACAAGGTGAGTGAGATTTGGTTAGGTTAAAATTCTGCTACAGATTATAAATAATACAATATTAATAAACAAAATAGAACTTTTTGTATTTATTTAAAGTCTAGCAACTGAATTGTAGAAAACATGATAATTCAAATATTAATAACAACGGTCGACGACAACAACAATAATAATAATACTAATACCTAATAATAATAATATTATGTATTAATTTTATTTCAGGACCATGAAGCTAGACTTCTTTGCATAGTGGACGATATGTGCACTAGAGACATTTTGGACCGTCATTTGGGTTTTGTCACTCACAAAACCCAAGAAGAATGTTTCGCAACGTTTTCAAAAAAAGACCTTGGCTATTTAAAGCAACAAAATATGATGTACATCAATGCGTGTGCTCCGTCATCTCGTTTCACCATCGAACGGTGTGCAATGTTCGAGGAGGACGGAGATGTTGGTGCGAAGGTAATGGCCGCAAAAGATTTGAAGAGCGGCACTGTGATTCATGAACTGTGTGGAAGGCTGGTGACGGTTAGAGAATCATTTTTGAAGCCTGGACRAAATGATTTTTCTGTCGTCCACAGCAACTATAGTAAGAAGTCACAGTTATGGTTGGGTCCCGCTGCTTACGCAAACCACGATTGTGAAAGCAATTGTGACATTCACTATCTGCGGAGCGGTGTGGCGTGCCTTCGCACCAACAGGCCAATTCGTGTCGGTGAGGAAGTCACAGCTTACTACGGGCGACATTTTTTTGGTGCAAATAATATGCATTGCCTTTGCACAACTTGCAAGGGAAAATTAGAAGGTGCGTATGCTAATACTGAACCTCCACTAGTAGCAAGACCGTTTCTGCAATGTGCCCATTGTCCTGCGAGGTTTCGGTTTAAATCGTGGTTGGTGCGTCATCTTTCGAGGCACGTGAACATCGATAAGCTTTCATGTGGGAAATGCGGTGAGTCCTTCAGCAGAAAATCATCGTTGAAGAGGCACGCCGAAGGCCACGATTCCTCCCTGAAAAAATTTCCATGTACACTGTGCCCAAAGTCCTTCACACGGAAAGAAGATGTCGCTCACCATGAAAACACCGTTCACCTTAAATTCTCAACTCACAATTGCATGGATTGTAAGTTGACATTTAAGTCCAACAAGGAGATGCAGTATCACCACAATCGTTGTCACACTGGATTAAAACCATTTACCTGTGAACAGTGTGATGCGGCATTCCACGCACCAAATGCTTTGCATAACCACCGGAAAAGGCGGCATTAGATCGTGAGTGAAATATTATATAAATTTAATAGCATCTAATTTCAAAATATCTTTAATTTGTTAAGTTAGGTTAGGTAATCTAGCGTTCAATGTATATTTTCTTTGTTGTGGTTTCTATTTATACAATTTTATTTTTAATATTGTTTTCAGATTTCACTGGTTCCGAATGTCGTAGCTGCCGTTAGGTTGCAGTGACGTTGTGTTTTTTTTCATTTTCTGCTTTTTCTAAAGCTTCTTTA